AAAAAAAAAAAAAAAAAAAAAAAAAAAAAAAAGCGGCAAACAAGAAAAAGAAAGAAAGAAAGAAAACATACCAAGACTGATGAATTTGGCTATCAATTTCCCCGTCATGCAACTCCATCACAGAAAACCAGAAAAGAACTTCCGTTTGCTGTGTTCTTCCAGGCTTCGAAAAAGTTAGAAAAATACGAAGTTACAGAGAGTTTGAAAAGTTGGCGCAACGTCTGTCGAAGACGAAGCAGTCTAATGGGCTTTTGCGGTTCAATGTTCAGAGCTTCATAAACCCTAAAGTGGACCAAAGGAAACAGAGGATTAAACAAAAAGAAAGGAAAGAAGGAACTAGGGCGAATTGGACCGGACGTGGGCTATTTATAGGTTTATTTCAAAGACTAAATCTCTGTGGTCAAGTTTTTAGCCCACCTCCAATTATTTAATCTCAACCGTCCATTTTTTCCTCTTGTTTTGTTCTGAATTTAAAGATTATAGGAGCTTTAGTAAAGTATTAGGTTAAAGTATTAAAAAAAATATCTTCCAATTTTTTATTTGTACAAATCTTAAAATTTTAAAATATTTCAAAAATATTTGAAATAAAAATTTGTTAGAATATTAAATTGACATCAGATACACATACACTATGTCTGTGAATATTTAGATTTAATTTAATAAAAAGATCTCGTCAATATATATATTATAATACATAAAAGATTATAAATATAATATTGCATTAAATAAAATAAAAAATCTCGATTAATCACTTTAAATTTATTTTTGAATAATCTGTCGTGTACGTTCAAAAATGATATTCTATATTTTTTTTTGTTAGGATTTGCAATTTTCACAAGAACAAGAAAGGCATCACAAACTATTTGAAGCTTCCAAATGAACCTAATGGAAGAAATAATAAGATCGTTTGGGAAGAAATCAGTAAAATTTGAAGTTTGACAAATACACTACGAAATGTTAAAACTCTATATTTATTAGTTGACATAGAAGCATAAAACATCCTTATTCCATTCTAAACATTTTAAACATCTTCAACAAAGTACAAGTGGGTGATGATTAAGGGGAAGGTGAAATTCCTGAGTCGAAAAAGGGGTAAAAATAATTAGCTCGAACCGTCGCAAGTGAAACCATGCTAGAGAATAAGTGTATACATATTTGTCCAATGGCTTAATCAATCCAGAGAAAGAGTTGTTGTCGTCGTTGTCGTTGTCTTCTTCTTCCACATAGAAGATCAGTCAGTATTTTCACACGATGCTGCAACACAAGACCGACCCAATTGCTGGAGTAATAGATAGAACTCGAACCAACTTCGAAACAATGCTCTACTTGTCTCCACCTCCAAACATCCCCATCATATCTTTGTTGGAACCCATTTGCTTCATCAAGCTCTGTAAGCCACCCATCCCGCCAATTTGCTTCAAAATCTGGGGAGGAAGGACCTTACTCATGTGCTGTGCATTCATGTTTCGAGATAGAGCGCTCATTTCGCCCTTCTTTGGGATCTTCAGCCCTTTCATCTTGCTCCATACCTTGGCGAGGCGTTTGTACTCTTCCATCATTTCCATTACTTCCTGAATGCGGCGACCTGAACCTCGTGCTACTCGCATCATTCTTGACTCGTTCATGAGCTTCGGGTTTGAGCTATCCAATTC